CAAAAGTATTGTCCGCAATTCACATTTTGAAGCAAAAATTGCTATAAGTTACCAGAAAAAGAAAGCTTACTTTACTTGCGTCCTTTTTCCCACATGGATTCGAATTTGCCTCCCATATACAGGTCGTAAATGATTTTCGTTTCGATTGCTCAGTATACGAATTTTGTAAAGTACTATGTTAATATGAAGTTGTGATCTTGTTGTCTTTACATTTACATAATTTTTTCTCATAATATATTCGAATTTGTGTCCCTTTGGACGAGTGGTAGTGATTTTCGCAATGAACCGTAGATTTTTCATGTGATCGATTTGGGTTTAAAGTTGATTTGTTCCAAGTTCAATGTTTTATTAGTTTTATAGATTATACAAAATATATACCCATTTTCTACAAATCATATTTAGTGCAGCGGAGAGAGCCGCGAAATCGTTCAAAAAATTTTTTCGGAGTAGAAAGAATTGGGACCCACACCATTTTGTTCAGAAATGTTTGAACCTTCAGAATCTCGGTTTACGACATTTTCCCGTGGTCCTGACAAAAGTTATAGGCCGCTAAAGTTGAATTTTACTCATTTTCGCGCGCGCGACTAGACCACCGAAAGTATTTATTTTCTCAGCAACTAAGCGATATACATCAATAATTCCTTTTGTAAAATGAAAGTACATTTATAGCAGAATCTAAAGCATTCAATTTACCTACCTTGTTATGGACAGTTTTTTGAAAAATGACCGTCAACTTCCAAAATTCGTGTAGGAGATGAAAAGTGCGCACTTTGAACTCTCATAACTTTTTATTTCACGATATCGATTTCCAATATTTATAGCTCATTCGATGCTCCAAAGCATTTAGACCGGGAGGCAGCGTACATAGTAACTAAACCATAAGCGACAAAAAATTCGACAATACAGGCTGAAAGTACGTTGAAAACTAGTAATAAAATCACCAGTCTGCCAGTCGTAAGTGGCAGCATTAACTTGGGGCGGCGCTGAATAGGTGACTTCTTTAGGTGATCAACTAAATTACCAAACTATAAGGGTCACGGAAAAGATTTCTATCAAGAAATCCCATTTTTTCCATAGTTTTCAAATATGCTATGGCAGACGATTTCAAGTGCAGCGTTGGTAGCGAAAGACGCCCTTCAATGTAGGGAAAAACACCCCTGAACTAAACCATTAGGACCGTATAAAAATTATACATAAAAAATTCCTCTTTTTGTCACTACTTTAAAATATATCCTGGCAGACGATATTAAGTGTAGCTTTAATAGTGGCAGACGTTTTAGAAGTTAAAAAAAATTAGGTACTTACAGTAAATCCCAGCGAGTGCGAGTGTGTGAGAGATAAGCCCGCGAGAGCACAACGAACAGAGATAGCTATAGATTTACGCACCGCTTGGAGTTACCAAACGAATTAAATTAGGGAAAATAATAAATTGTTTATTTCACTATAAGATTGTCGGTATTTCTTGAATTCTTCTCAGACTGAGAAACAGAAAACTTGAAGAGAAAAGAAGATAGATCTTCGGCTCGTTCTAAACTATCCTCTGACTCCAGTTGTAGATGTTGTTTTAATCGATGGATTATTTTTTTTGCATCTTTTAAAAGATCTCCGGTAAACCTTTGAGCGATTTTCTGAACACATCCTCGGCAAGATTTGTGCTGTGTCAGCGAGAGAAGTACATCTTACTTTTGACAGATAGTTACCCGTTCCATGAAGGACGCAGAACATGATCGTTGGGATCAAAATAAGGAAAGATTACAATCCTACTCAATTTCTGTTTCCACTCAGAAGCAGCCTGCAAATTTCATAAAACCACTTGCAATGATAGCTCAAAGCCTCTCTTATAGATTACTTATACCGTTCATAGGCAAAAAAGACCTGTTGCGCTTTACTTGGAAGAAAAGTTGTGTTTGCCACATATGAAGATAAGTGCTATAAATTTGTGACAAGGGAAGATGATGTGGTAAAAACTGAATTGTGCTGCAGCCACTAAGAGGCAGATTCTCGAATAATTTACCATCTTGGTAAACTACCAAGAAGTAGCAAAGTCATTATTAGCGCTTCCGATATGGATATTGCTGTTATTGCTTTGGGAAATGTAAAATTGACGCTACCATCAAGGTATAGATGGAAGTAGGTCTCTTTTCCAATAACACGTAGAAATTCATAATCTTCGAGAGATGTTCGTGAATTTGGGTGTTGATGTGTGTAACGCGCAGGGTAACGCGTTACCGGGTTCCCACGCATTTACCGGATGTATGACCTGTGTATGGTCCTCATGGTTTAGTTCATCGCAATTTGAGCGAATGCCACCGAAAAGTGTCTGAGTTTCTACAATCCGTTTGATTGAAGTGGATGGAACTATGTGAATCAGAAGTTTAGAATCAAATGGTTTGAAAGATCTCAGTAGTCAGTATCCTATCGCTATCTCTGTTGGTTATGCTCTCGCGCGCTTAACTCTCACACGCTCGCACTCGCAGGGATTTAGTATACCTAAATTTTTTAACTTCTAAGACGTCTGCCACTATTAAAGCTACACTTAATATCGTCTGCCAGGATATATTTTAAAGTAGTGACAAAAAGAGGAATTTTTTAATGTATAATTTTTATACGGCCCTCATGGTTTAGTTCAGGGGTGTTTTTCCCTACATTGGAGGGCGTCTTTCGCTACCAACGCTGCACTTGGAATCGTCTGCCATAGCATATTTGAAAACTATGGAAAAAATGGGATTTCTTCATACAAATCTTTTCCGTGACCCTTATAGTTTGGTAATTTAGTTGATCACCTAAAGAAGTCACCTATTCAGCGCCGCCCCAAGTTAATGCTGCCACTTACGACTGGCAGACTGGTGATTTTATTACTAGTTTTCAACGTACTTTCAGCCTGTATTGTCGAATTTTTTGTCGCTTATGGTTTAGTTACTATGTACGCTGCCTCCCGGTCTAATTGTGATTATTTTATTTTCTATAACATTACCGTGAATTTTTCATAATAAAAAAGTTACGGTCATTTAAGTAAAAACCTACCGACCTCGCCGAGTCGGTAATCGCGAGTGAGACGGAGAGGGAAGGATAGTCAGCAGTGTTCGCTAAACAAGGAGCGATGCGTAAGAGATTTTACTTTACTAAGAAATTTCTCTCCGAATACCAAAACTAGCTATTTAGGCCGTTTAGTTTACAAATGCATTCCGCCGAGTTGCATTGTAAAATCTCAAACAATTCATTAACTCCATGTATCTCAGTTCTTTGGTGAAATATATAGGTACAAATAGGTACCTTTCCCTGTAAATTTTGGGGGTTACTCCAAATTAGGTATCTCTTGTGCTGTGCTGTATATTGCAAGATCAGCAGTAACAACGGTATGATTTTGTCCCAAAGATTCAGGCTTGTTTTTTGATTTCACTAGACGATTCATTCATTCATTCATTCATTTTTATTTAATTCCTTCGACAAATAACATTTGTATGGAACAAGTCAATATAACATTAATTAAACAAACGAACAGTTAAACAAACAAACAATTAAATATTGGAAGATATAAAATATTCTTGTATGTTGTAGAAACACCCATTGACTAGATA